ATATAAAATTTTAATTATTTATTTTTTTATTTTAATAATTAAAATTTTATATAAGTATAATATATAAAATTTAAATATAAATAAATCCCTTCTCATATTAAGCAGGCTACCTTCCGAATTACAAGCGCCAAAATTACCTCGCCCCTGTGTTTTCTTCTTCTTCTTGTTCCCTTTTTCAATTTGATTCCCTTGCATAAGCATTTTCTAGAAACAAAAAACAAAAAAAAAAAAAAAATTTGTAAATCCAAACATGCATTATGCATTTTTAAAGTTATGTTTCTCTATAATTTTATTATTTAATTTTTCATTATATAAGAAATGATCAAGATCTTGCATAATTTAAAATTAAATTAAAGTAAACAATTTTTAATTTAAAATAAAAAATACTAACCTATTAAGATACCATTATCATTTTTTTAAAAATTTTAATTATCACAATGTTATTCAAAAAAATCAAACTTAATTGCTGAAATTTTTAATTACTGAAAATTTTAAATTTAAGCACTTAAAAGTTACAATTTTTTAAGTTTAAAGGTTTATTCACTAATTAAACCTCAATTTATTGCCATTCCTAACATTTTAATTATCTATCATTCTTATTATTATGTAATTAATTTTTTTTACAAATTATTCTTCACCGCACCACCAATAAAAATATCATCCACACATACACACCATCGCGTTATCACAAAATTCAACGTTGGATTTTTCCTCTTTCTTTTTCCCCTTTTTCTTTTTTCAAAGAAAAGATAGTTCTTTCACCGTGTCCACAAATCGTCGACCAAATCACTTTGTCTGCCTATAAATAAAGGCCATTCTAGAGTTCCCAAATATAACACATCCTTAACATAGAAATCTCATCATCAGTAAAATGTCTTCTTTCCGATCCATAGCTCTGCTTTTCTTTGTAGTTCTGCTTCACGGGGGTTCATTGTCATATGGCCAACTGAGTTCTACATTTTACGATGAAACTTGCCCCAATGTGTCAAGCATTATACGTGGAGTTCTCGCAAATGCTCTGCTCTCAGATCCCAGAATTGGGGCAAGTCTCATTAGGCTTCACTTCCATGACTGCTTCGTTAATGTAACATCTCCAATCGCTTCCAAGTTCAAACCTTACGTTATTTCCCATAATTTCATTCTCTTTTTTGTGTTTTATTGACTTGGTGCCGTTTTTTGGTTCGATGACAATCTGCTGCAACTTATTTCAGGGCTGTGATGCTTCGATTTTGCTGGACAATAGTGACACCATAGTGAGTGAGAAGGAATCACTGGCTAACAACAACTCCGCAAGGGGTTTTGATGTTGTTGATGCAATGAAGGCACAGTTGGAGACTGCTTGTCCTGCTACCGTCTCCTGTGCTGACATTCTTGCAATTGCAGCAGAAGAATCAGTTTGCTTGGTACTGATCTCTGCTTGCTTTCCCTGAAAAACAAAACTATGGGTTTTTAATGTATGTTGTTTGTAACCAAGTTCATTTTTATAGGCAGGAGGCCCATCCTGGCCAGTTTTGTTAGGAAGAAGAGATAGCAGAACTGCAAACCGCACACTGGCTGATAATTTCCTTCCAGCTCCTACTGCAACCCTGGATCAACTCAAAGCTAAATTCTTAGCTGTTGGACTTAACAATAGCACAGATCTGGTTGCGTTGTCGGGTAATTCCAAGACTTTATTCTTAGTGACACTTTCCTCAAACAGTTCAAAATTGAATTCAGATATAATTAAGAGGAATTAAGGATATGACTTTATTTAGTTATAAAGTAGGACTGCATATTTTTCAGGTGCTCACACATTCGGACGGGCTCAATGTAGAACATTCATAGGCAGACTGTATAACTTTAGCGGCAGTGGAAATCCTGACTCTACCCTGAACTCAACCTACTTAGCAACATTGCGCCAATTATGCCCTCAAGGTGGAAATGGGAGTGTCCTGACAGATCTCGATCCCACCACACCTGATGCCTTTGACAGCAACTACTTTACCAACCTTCAAGCTCAACAAGGTCTGCTTCAAAGTGATCAAGAGTTGTTCTCCACTGCTGGGGCAGACACCATTGAAATTGTTAATAGATTTAGCAGCAACCAAACTGCATTCTTCGAAAGTTTTGTTGAATCTATGATAAGAATGGGAAACATCATGCCTTTGACAGGTACTGAAGGGGAGATTAGATTGAATTGCAGTGTTGTTAATAGTGATTCAATCACAACTGCTAGATCAAATGGAGGCCTAGCTAGCTCCATTGGATTTGATCAACAACAACAAGGCTAATAAATAGCCCTCTTTTATGCTTGTGTATTTTGCTGAATATAAATTAATGAATAAAGCTTGTTTGCATCTTATTATCTTTATGTTATGCTGCCAAATCATTCTAGTTTACTAACATTAAGTTAGCTGACATGTTCATTAAATTCAAAATTTTGATTTGGTAGTTAAGATCAGCTTATTTAAACTTTTGTTATAAATAAGTATATTTATTTTCTTGTACTAAAAAATAATTTTTTTTCTCGAATAAAGCTTGTTAATGTTATATTTGAATATAAAACAAATTGGCTTGAGTCTCAACCTAGACATTCTAAAGATGTAAACATAATGGTTTAATTTTGTCTAATTTTATTGTGTGAATGAAGAATCAAACCCAGATTCTAAACGCTAGTAAAATCAGCTTTAAAGAGACTTTTAGGGAGGAAAAGTAGAATTGTAGAGAAAAAAATAAGGGTTAAGGCCATCTATCGTCCCTCTACTATCAAAAATAGTGCATTCTAAACCTTCTACTATGGATTGGCTTCATGTCGTCCCTCTACTATTAATTAACTCCACTTGTCATCCCTCTACAATGCAGAA